TTGAGCTGTACCTTTAAGACTTGTATTTTACTTATATGTAAAATGTGTGTGAATTATATGTCAATTAAAAGAGAACCAGGAGGGGTTTTTCCAGGAATGGTTTAATGTTGAAACACCCCAAAATGTAATTCACCATATAAACAGAATAAAGCAGAATAATGAAATAGTCCTTGTAGTAGATGCAGAAGAAATAATTTTATCATTCAACATCCATTCATAGTCAAAGTGTTAGCAAACTAGGAATGGAAAAGAATTTCCTTAACTGGATAAAGGTTAACTACCAAAACTCTACAGTGATCTACATCATTCCTAATGGTGCAACCTCAGAAGCAGTTCTTTTTCAATCAGAATCAAGTCGAGTGCCTATGAATAGCAATTCTACGCCTCTGGGAATCCCAGCGTCCACGGGCAAAAGGTGAACACAGGAAGGGACCCTATCCTGAGAGAACCGGCTTTTAGATCCATGTGGTATCCTTCGGTTTAGAGGGCTTCCCAAATTTCATTCATGTTACAGATATTTTGCAACTATGCAGTATCATATCAGTTTCAAAAATTGTATTTTGGTCAGACATTTGAAGATACAGGCCAGGAAATATGGTAAAAGCAACTGATCTTAAATCAAGTTTTTTATTTTTAAAATGGAAAATATTTGAAATGTAAGAAGGCAGTACAAAGGACACAATATCCAAAATATAGATGGAAGTGTTTGCTCAGCAGGAGAAAAAAAAAAAAGTATCCAAAATTGGTTGCTTCCAGACCCTGACAGAACCTCACAGAAGACGACTCTTTCCTCCAGGAGGAATGGGAAGATAGACCGGGGCTGGGCCAGCAGTTTGTGACACAGTGAATCCTGAGAGATGGACGGAACCTTTCCTTCTTCCAGGATTCTCAGGAGCTCAGCCCTCTATGGCTCTGCGTTTCTGGGTGGGGGTCCCGCACTGAAGATTTGGGGTTAGAGGTGGAGGAGTCAACGAAGTGGCCACTGCGGTGACAGGGGGCCGGAATCTACGCTCGTCTGTAGTGTGAGATGCGTCCTTCGTTCCCTTCCCACACGCCAGCCAAACCCCATTCTCCGCTGCTAGAGCGGGAGACCTCCGCCAGAGGGCGCGCCTTGCACCGTCGATCGCCGCGTCCGCGAGCGGCGATTCCGGGGCTGTCGATCTTCCCGGATGGCTAGCTAGCGCCTTCCCCGTGTGGGTCCCCACGGCCCTCCGATCCCCAGCTAGGTTTGGGATTTCCTTCACATCCTCAGGTCCTTGTCCGCCCGCTCTGCCCCTTCAGTCAATGCGCCCTCCTCGACGCCCTCCAGCCGTCGCTCTGGCCCGTCCATGCGCACTGGAGCCTGGGGAATTGCGCTGCTGTGCCCCCGCACCTCGCACCTGCTCCTGGGGCGACCTCCCGCGCAGCACAGACCGCCTCCCGCTCCCGCCACGACCATGTCCCCTCACCCCAGGCCGGGGCATAGCCGTCCTCTTTCCTGTGCACACACGAGTCTGAGGGAGAGAGCCTCCTCCTTCCAGCGGCCCCTCTCCTTCCCTCAGGATGGCCGCTGACAACTCTGTCTTAAGTGGTGTCCCAGACTCATGAGCCCCCTTAACACCCTCTCCGGCCCTCCGGGGTCTTGGCCGCTCCCACTCATTGCTCCCTGTTCTTTGGGGCGGACGAAAGTCCATCACCGGGCGCGCCTACTCCAGCTCCAGCTCCTGCGGGTCCCCAGGATAGGTGTTTGCCGCAGCGACCCCCTCCCTGTTTTCAGAGACGCAAGGCCCTTCGTTGCTGACAACTCCTCTGCCTCTTCTTTATTCCTCTCTTGACCTGATTATTTTTCTGGCCAGGTCGCACGGGTTACTGGATCCCCACCCCCACCCCGGTCCTCTCAGAGCTGGCTGTGGCGGGATGGAGGAGGACAGGCAAACCGGAAAGGCTTCGAAGGCCTTCATTCCAGCCTGCTCATCCTCCCTGGGCTTGCATTTTTAAGCCTTTTAACTTTCAACTCTAAAGGGATGTCTTGGTCTACGGTTTGAGACGTTTCAGGAATTATGTTCATGATACCATTTTTATTTAGTCTCTGCAAGGTCCCTCACTTTATTCTCTTTTATCTGAATACTCTACTCCCCTTTGCCTGCCCCCCGCCCCCCGAGCTAGTCATTCAATCGTTTCGTTTTTATATGTTCTTGCCACCCCGTGTGTTTTGCTGTCATGCATTTTAGATTTGTATTAAAAGAATTGCATTATTTCTCATTTAGTTTTGCACTCAGAGCTAAGAGTTCAAGACCAATCTGTACTGCTCCCGCCCCTCCTAACTGCTGTCTCCTCTCTGTGGCACTCACGCACCGTATTTAACTTTTCTCATCTCCTGCCACCACCAATAACAGTGCAATCATGAGTGTCAAACACGTCCTCTCTTATGCGGTGCTTCTCAAACACTGCACGTGTCTCACCTGGGAATCTTGTTAAAAGGCAGGCTCTAATTCTGAAGGCCTGGAGTGGGGCCTGAGACTCTAGACTTCCAACCAGCTCCCAGGTGAGGCTTATACTGCTGGTCCTGGGACCGGGTCCTTCGAGGGCTCTGTGAGAATTCACTTTGGGTCGCTGGGTTATAGGGTATGTGTTCCTCTAATTTAGTAAGTACGGCACTTCGGCTACCACCTTACCCCATACCAGCTGAGCAGGAGAGTAGAAGGTATATACAGGGTGGGGCAAAAGTAGGTTTACAGTTGTGAGTACATGAAACACAATTTATCCTTGTATTATTATTTATTAATTATTGTACTATTTTCTGTAGGAACAATTGTAAACCTACTTTTGCCCCACCCTGTATTTATGTGAGAAAGAAGAATGCTGTCCCCTAGCTCCTGACCACATCTTGTTCCCCTAGGGCCAAAGCCTTCCCTCTCCCTCCATTGGAATGGCCCAAGGCCTCAGAGTGTTATCACTGACCAGCAGTGCAGAGCTAAGTCTATGGTGGGCCCAAGACCTCCATCCAGGCTTTCACAGGAGTTTAAGAACAGGCATGGAGTCTTCATTTAGGTTGTATTTTCTCCATCTCTTTCCCTTTAGTAGCCTGTTAGGTAGAGTTGGACTCAAACCACCTGGCCTTGAACTGACTTCTCATCTCTAAAATGGAATAGTAACAGAACAGCTACAGGTTGCAGAGTGAGGAGTCAGCCTGGGAACTTCACCACATGCCAGAAGCCCCACAGAAGCCCTGAGACCAGCCTCCTTACCGTCGTTTTACCCATGAGGAATATGAAGTTCAGGGAAGCTTAGCAATTCCCACGAAGGCCATGGAGATAGAAAGTTGGGACTGAAACCCAGCCTCAGCTACTGCATCAGAGCCCATTCTAACCACGAGGCTACCCCACCTCCATGTCCTGCCTTGCCCTTGCTACCAGTCCATATTTCAGGGAGAATCACAAGGAAATGGGAAGGAAGGACTGTGGCTGGGGTTTTAGGCATGGATGCTGAAGGCATCTAACCAGTGGTGTGCACAGTTATGAAACTCCACCGCAAATGAGTTTTGGCAAAAACGAACCCTGGTTCTAGGGGCTGGTCCTCAGGACTTGAGTATTTAGGTGGCAGGAGAGAGGTCCAGGGCTTAGGAACAGGGTTTTCAAGGTTAGATGTACAGTAGGGTCAGGGTTGGGGAGGAGTCAGGAATTAGGCAAGGGTTAAGAGTGGGGTAGGGGTCAGGTGGTTGGGTCTTAGCTGTGGGTAAAGCTATCAGTCATGTGCCTTACTTGTAATAGCTGATCATGCACTGTTTTGTTTGGAGGGCCAGCAGATATGCAAACAGCCAGCACCCTGGCCATTGGGAAAGCCACCTTGCAAGGTCCTCTTGGTGCTGTGAGTAGTTTTCTGGGTCCATTTGGGAAACCGTGGGCTTTTTCCACTCATATAACTCTGCAAGCATTGCCTGGCACTAAGCCTCAGACCCAGACATTTCACAATCAGAAGAGTTTGAAATCTGCATTTTTTGAGATTGCAAGACACACAAACATTTTTACATCTTGTCCACACCCATGCATCCTCTGTTTACCACTGTAATTTTAATTAATTACAGAGTATTTCTCGGAATGCCTGGGGAAGATTTCTGCTCTTTTTGTGGCCTTTGGGCTCAAAAGACCTGTTGAGCCTAAGAGTTCAATATAATACCTTATTGTTTCCTGGACTTTACAAAGGACTTCACACTTAGGTGTTGCCTTTGACTCAGCTCCATGACAGGGTTGGGACCCACTTAGCACAGGCCCAAAAGAATTGGCCAAGGCCACAAAATGTATAGGTGGGTAAACTGGGACTTGCTTGTTTTTCTAGAACAGACTTCAGGGGACTTAAAGAGTGGATACTCTCTGGGAACCTCACTGCCCTATTCAGCCCATTTCCCAGACTTGGGGATGTGGACTGAGGCAAGAAGTAGGGTGTCTAGGGAGTGGGGGAATGCCTGGGTGGAAAGGTCTGGAAGATGAGTTAGTTGAAGTCGCATGGGGCTTGTGGCCAGCCATCTAGCTAGGTTTCCATTGGTGGGCCCTTTCTAGAGTTTGGTCAAGAGGAAGCTGGTGGGAGAAATGGCAAGTCCGGGGCTACCCAGGTAGAAATTCTCAATGAGTCTGAAGCTGAGAGAGCTGCAAGAAAAAGATGCTGCCAGTTGCTAAGGAGGCTCTAATGTGGCTAAGGTTGCCACACCCACAGGCGAGCTCTAGGTTATTGGGTCAAGTTCTGCCCCTATCTAAACCTTTTGCCCTGTCTCCTCTCCTCAAAGCTCCTGACCCCCCACACCAAGTACCTGCAGCATCAGCTTGAGGGAAGTGCCCAGAGGTTGGGCCAGTCTACCCTGCCAGCTCCAGCAACATCATATATGACACCACCAGTGCCAGGGACTGGGGGTCGGGGCCTGCTGAGGCAGGAAGGCCCTGGTCTCACTGCCCTCCCTCTCCCCCGGGGCCTCAGGCCCTAGGCCAGGGCTCAACAGACACAGGCAGTGGGATGCAGTTGCCCTTCTATTAGTCCAAGTCCTGAACGTGGCCTGGGTGAGACATGGAGATGAGGAGGCCCACGAGGCTCAGCAGCGTAGAGAACAGCAGCAGGAAGGAAATGGTGAAGAGCAGGGCTGGAAGGGCACTGAGCACCAGCAGCAGGATGGCGGGCAGCAGGTGGCGCCACGCGGCAGCCACAACGGACCACAGGGAGCTGAGCAGGTGGGAGCCGGTAGTGAAGAGCGCATGGCACAGCATCAGTGCCAGCAGCAGGTAGAGAATCCCCTCCAGGCCCCACAGCACGCGCCGCAGCGGTTGCCGCCAGCCCGATGTGGTCCACCACTGGATCCAGCTCTGGGGCACATGGTACGTGCACCAACGCGCCCAGCCCTGCCGTGTGACCCAGGCAGACCAGGGCACTGCCCGCTGCGGCCCCTCACCGGCCCCGATGGCATCTGTCTCCACTCGAGGCTGCTGCATCACAGATGGTGCACCTGGGGAGAGGGCTAGTCCAGCTGCAGGAGCAGCCCTGGAGATACACGGGACCTCAGGGCAGGTAGGGGTGGAAGGGTCAGGAGGGCACTAGTGTAGGGGGTGGGGTGGGGCAAGGCTTTGAGCTGGGGTCTGGATCTTACCTGTGGGCAAAGGTCTCTAAGTCATGTTGCTTCCTGCAGTACCCAGGACGGCCTGGCAGCCAGAGTTGAGCCCCTCTCTCTCTTCCCCCACCCTCTCCAGAGGAGTCCCATTGTGACCCGGACTAGGTGGGGACCAGCTAAGAAAAGAGCCACTGCACGGGTGAGCCTCAGCTGAACCTCACTCTATGAACCCTTCAGACTGGCAGGGGAGGCTGGGGAGGCTGCGGAGTCTGGGAAGGCTACAGATGCAGCTTCTCATGCTTTCTTGTGGAAAGCCCTCTTGGATCCCTGTCCCTTCCCTGCTGCCTAATGAGTCCCATTCCACTCTCTTCTTTCTCTCTTGGTCTTCACTCTTTAGAACGACAGAGGAGGCCAGAATGGCCAGCCCCAACCTCCATGTTCTGAGATTGCTATTGCGTCCTGCCCTGGGTTCCTTGTCCCTTATCTCACCTTCTGTCGTTGTCTAGAATTAGACCCAAGAATCCACTGCCCATACTGTGGGGCCAGAAGTCCAGTGAAGTTCAGGCTGGGGACAAAGGTGTACCCTCTTGCCTGCCCAGCTCAGAAGGGAGGAGAGGGGGCCTGAAGACACAGCATGGTCAGTGTATTTCTGGAGGGCAGTCAGGCCCAAGGATGGAGGCAGAAAGCCAGGCCAAGCAGCGCCAAAGGCACGCTGCGGGCTCCCAGGAGGAGCTGCAGGCCCAGGAGCAGCAGTAGCAGAGCCTCCTGGAGGCTGAGTCGTCCTGTGACTGCCGCTGTCTGCAGGAGTAGAGCCTCCTGCTGTCTTGGACCCTCGCCGGCCCCCTGACTTTGGCCCCCTGTGAGAGGCGTGTGTGGCGGCTGGGTGGGACCTGCAGGCCTGTGGAGAGAGAGGATAGCAGCTGGGCCTCGGGAGGTTGACCGCTTGCCTGCTTGCCTGCTCCTGCCCACCTGCCAGGCTACTGCCCATTTACCTGTGGAGCAGGTCGAAGGCCAGGAAGCTGACCAATAGCAGCAGCAGCAGCAAGGCTGGGCCAGCCATGGAAAAGACTGCCCGAATCGTCAGCACTAGAGCCCCCAGCCCTAGGACACTGTCCAGGAGCTGGGCTGGGCTAGGGCCCCAGGAGGACACATATGGACCCACTGAACGACCCAATCCCTCCCCAGCACCCAGGCTCCTGGGAGGGACAGGGATGGGATAAGCACGGGCTTCAGGCCTGGGTAAGCAGAGCTGGGTCATGGAGGGAGGTGGAGGTTACAGGCAGGGGCCGTGCTGGGAGGAAGTATGGGGGGTGGGAGTGTGGGAGAGGATGGCAGGCACTCAAGGATGAGCTCAGGGAGCGGGGGAACTGGGCTCCTTGGGAACCACCGCCTCCCCACACACCCACCCCACCGAACTCTCCTCACCTCCTCCCACTGCGGTCAGCCATTCTGGGACTGGGTGGCTGGGGCATTGTGACGTCTTGCCAGGTGGGGCTCTAAGGTAGGGAGGGGCTGCTGCTGGTTCTGGCCTCATAAGCAACTCGTGGCTCAAGTGGGACTTAGCCAGAGGTCAGCTCTTTCTGACAAGTAAGACTCACTGTCTTGCCTGTGCTAGTTCTCTGCCCTAGGCCCCTCCCATGGGGATGAGTTGCCAAGGAAGCATTCTGACCCCAACACTACGTGGGTGGCTGACGGATGAAGAATGGCTGCCTTCTCTTTCCTGCAGGTGCTCGGAGCTATGCAGGGACAAGTCATTCAATTGCCTTGTCCAGTGCTCTCTCCCCTGAGGGTAGGGTGATGCCTGTGGGCCATTGTGGGGGACTTTTCAGGACCACAGCCCCGGAATGCAGAGCTAGACTCTGCCACAAAGCAACCATAGCAGGACTCCTATGTGACCTGCTATGTGGGAGTGGGCATGAGACAGCTGTTGAAGCATTTTAAGTACTATGGTTTGTAAGAGGTGTTTCAGATACTGGGATTCCAGAAATGGCATAGAGGGCTACAACATAGTAACCCCCAAACTGGACGTTTGAGTTACTTTCTGAGAATGAAATTAAGAAAAATGAATATGATTGGTCACCTAGGAAAGAAATCTACCCCTACGGATAATCTGTAGTTGGGTGATGGTTCCAACACATCTCAATTCAGTGACTTGAGAGGTAAGATTGGAAATGGGTCATAATTGAGAGAACGTAATCCTTGTCCACATGTCACAATTTGAAGGAAAACTGATGGGGGTGGGGTGAGGGGACACGACCATGCCGCCCCTAGGAGAGGAGGGGACAGCTAGAGAATCAGGCTGCATATTTGCCTCCAGCAGACCCTGTCCAAACACACAATCTTGGTGGCCATGACATCTTTGGTGGGTATGGGTTCAAAAGTCCACAGAGCCAAAGCCACCAGCCCTTGGGACCATTTATTGATTGCCCTTGCTCTGGCTCTTCCCAGAGCAATAAAGCAATGCTCACAAAATTTCCAGGGAAAATGATTTTCAACCTAGAAACATGTATCTGTTCAAATGACAAGTACGAGGGCAAAATATAGACAGTTTAAACCATACAATGTTTCAAAAATTTAATTTTACGTAATGCTTTTTCTTAGAAAGTTACTGGAGGATGTGCATCAGAAAAACAAGGAATTAAACTAAGAAGGAGGATAATAAGGGGTTTAAAAAATGAGGCTAAAGACAGAGATATGATGAGAAAGGCCTGGCATGTCAGCTGTGCTCTTGGGCAAAGAAAGCAAACAACCCAGCCTGGAATCAACAGATAGATGCTCCGAGAGGGACGCCTCCAGAGCAACAGGGAATTATCTGTTTCTAAACATATTCAAAATAAATGTTCAGTTCTGTTGGAAACTTTGGATTAAATTAACAATTGGCACCTAGAAAACCAAGCAAATGATACAATTAAGTAATTACTAACTCCAGAGAACACAAAAAGTTGAACAATAATATTTACATGGTCATAATATAAGCCCTGCACATTGGCTCTTTTGGGACAATGGAAGGAGGGCAAGTGTATGTGTATTTGCATGTGTCTGGGTGGGAGGGTGGTAAGAAAGCTAAATTCTTAATTCCATAGTGGGAAATCCACAGATAATGTCTAAACATCGAAAAATCAAGAAAGAGCAATAGAAACATAGAGGTAAATAAGAAAAAAAATAAAAAGAATTTTGACTTGAGAATGGAGAAGCATAGAAGAGTCTTCTATTACAAGCCTTAATGTGATTTACCTCTACAACTGTATTCTGTAGTATTTTGACAAAAACGACTTCATTTTAAAAAAAAGCAAATCAATATAGGATCATATAGTGGAGATGGAGAATAGTCCTTCCCAGAATGAATGAAATACCAATTTCCTAATGCTATGTGGATGTACTCTTGTGGCTTGAGATAACGTTTCCAGTGATAGAGTCAAATACTACCAAAGGAAAAGAGTTGTGGATCTTAAGCATTTTAAGTACAGGAGCTCTAAACCTCCACCTAGCGCTTCTCAATCTTTCATGTGCACACGACTCTCCTGGGGTTAAGTCCTCTGGGGATCTTGTTAAAATGCGGGTTCTGATTCAGTAGGTCTGGGTCAGGGATTCTACATTTCTAACAAGCTCCCAGGGGATGCTGTTGGCCCTTAGCCACACTTTGAGGAACAAGGCTCCCCAAGACATTGATGTACAAAAGAGAGACAGCTGTGGGGGGGGGGTGAGGGGAGGATGGGCACGTGGGAAAGTGCCTTCCTGTGCATCTAGCTGCCATGGGAGTCCCCGTTTATGTTCACCTGAACATAAGGGGACCGCCTAATGGACAGTGACTTCTGCCTCAGCACCAGGGACAGGAGATGAGGAGGCACAGGTAAGAAGTAGATTTTGCTACTTTTCTATTTGTACAGCCAAACACATAGCCTCCTTTCTTTTCTTAATATTGTTTTATTCCATCCATGTATTTGAGAGCAAGAAGACTGTGTTAAGTTGTTTTCTCCGTCTTTAATTCATCTGGTTAATGTCAGGACCCCTGGAACCACATATTTTCTTACCTCATCATCACGGGAACCCTGGGAGGAAAATATTATCATTCCCATTTTACAGACGAGGAAGCTGAGGCTCAAAGAGGTGAAATTTCTATCCAAGGATACCCAAACTAATAAACAGCAGAAAATGGATGTGGAATTAAGCCATTGTGCCTCCAAGGTCATTGATCCTCTCCACTGCCAGCCCATCCCTTAAACCAAAATCCCTTTAGGCAGGTGTTCCCGCCCAGCCTGGCTCAGTTGTGCTTTGCAAAGTAGCCTGGTCCTTGTGAGGCTACGAAAGATCCTCTGCCTGGCTCCTGGGGCTAGCGGTCTGGCTATGCATGTACTTGGGTGCACACCTGTTGCACTCTAGGAGCTGCCACCTCTAGAACCTGCTTCCAGGCTTAGTGGCTTTGCAGCCCAGGTACCCAGTGGCAAGAGCCAAAGGCAGCAGCCTGACTGGGAGTACAGAGGGATGTGAGGCAATGAGGAAATTATAGAGGCATGAGAAGGCGCTGAGGGGCTCAGCGGGCTTAGAGGGTATAAAGGGGCCCTAAATGTTGCAATAGGACAAAGAGACAAGGGGTACAAAGGAGTAAGAAGAGAGATGGGGGGGTACACGGGACACAAAAGGTATGAATGTCCTGCAAATCCCAGCCCCTAAGGGAATGGGAAGGTGGCAAATATGCCCTGTCCTGTCAGTCCCTCTGTGTAGGGGCGGGTCTCCCAGTTCACGGACTGACATCTCCTCACCCACAAAACCTGGTACTGTTGGGAAGGATCAACTTCCTTCCAGCTCTGTTTGGTCCCCTCTAACATTGAATATATTATACGCTTACTTTTTGATCACCGACTAGGGACCAGACACTCAAGTCCCTGAGGTTCAGCTGTGAATATCTGGGTGCAAAAGACTCCTTTGGAGAGTTGCTTACCTCCTGCTGCAGGGGAGGAGGGACCCAACAGTGAACACATAATAAATAAGATAACCTCAGTTCATGTTAAGTACCTTTAAGACAACACAATAAAAGAGTGAGAGGATAGAGTGTCCGTAGAGGATGGATGAGCATTTTATCCGAATGGTCAGGGAAGGCCCTTGGAAGCAAGGTGACATTGAAAGATAATATGAATGATGAGGATGCAAACCTGAATGATGAGGTGAGCCAATGCAAAGGCCCTGGGGCTGGATGGGGCCGGAACATTGGAGAAACAGCTAGAATGCCAGTGTAGTGGGATGGATGTGAGCCAGAGGGTGAGCATGGGGAGATGAGGTCGGGAAGGTGTGCATGGAGAACCTTGTCAAGAAGGGCCTTGCAGGTGACCCCAGTAGACGTAAGCTGGGAGGAACTTGACAGGATTTGGCTGCTGTGTGGGGACTGACCGGGAGGGGGTGGGGGTTTCAGGAAGCTGAGATGTCTTAGCACCCCCATCCCTTTCTCTGCCCCGCCCCCCCAAACTTGGATGGAGGTGGGGGCCGGAGACAGGGAAGTAGCCAGACTGGACTTCCTTCAGAACTGCTTCTTGCTCCACAAGAATCTGTCCTGACCTTCCACCCCCTACCCCTACACCTACCCCACGAAGTCTTCGTCTTCAGTGCCGTCCTCTGCCCTGACCCAGCTGTGCTTCAGGGAGCCTTGGCTTTGGTGGAGCGAACTTGAGTTTTTTAAGTGCCTCTCTGGTGCCTGGGACCTTGGCAGTGCTGTCAGGAGGGGGACTCCAAGACTGGACGGAGACCTGTGTAGGGTCCTGTCCCGGCTACTCCCTTCTGAGCTCTATGCCCAGAGCATGTGGGGTGGACCGACGAGATGCCTGAGGAGCTCCAGGACTCACCTTTGTAAGGTGGTCCTGGCCTGCAGTGGCCTCAGTTCCCAGGCCCTAGGGTGGTATTTCTTTCCAGAGATCCTGAGAGATAGGGCTTCCAGAAAGGTTCTGAGATGCTGACTTTGGGTGATTCAAATTGTTTATATAGATAGTGGCCCTCAGCCAAAAAAAAAAAAAAAATTGCTCAGAGCCCTGTGTCCTTCAGAAGATTCCCGGCCACCCCGGGGCAGCGCTTCTCACCTGGGGAAGGCAGTATCTCTCTGCGGATTCCTTGCAAGGACAAAGCATCGGCCAGAGGCGCACCGTGGACGCATTTCCTTCCTTCTGAGGAGGCGACCCTAACAGGAGAGAGTCAAAGGGGTCTCCGAGGGGGAGTGATCACAGCCCTGCACTCTCGAATCCCAGGACGGGGCTAGTCCCGCGGACACAAAGCCGGCGCTGCGGGCCAGGGAGTAGAATGTGGAAGGCACGGCTTGGAAGGGGTGAAGGCAGAAGACCCAACAAGCCACGGCCCATCCACCCCGGCCCCAGCCGGCTGGATATCGGCTCGGGCTTCTCTCCTAGGATTATATAACACCAGAACGTGGCAGCTGGGTGAGCAAAGGAGGAGGGGAGGGGAGGGAAGGGCGAGAGGGTAGGCGAGGTCGGAGATGTGGGGGTGGTTGGTGGTGCTGGAACGCAGCGCCTCTCGCATGGCCCCCTTGGGTTGTCCATCAGGATTCCTGGAGGGCCAGCCTTCCTCCCATCCCCCAACCCCCGTCTCAGCTTCCCCTCACCCTTCTTTCTGTCCCACCCCCAGGCAGGCGGTGGATTTCCCTCTTGGGTTGTAGTTTCCTCTCCCAGAGTTCCCAGCTTTGCTTTATTGGCTATGCCAGTAGCTACTCTGAGCCTCAGTTTACCAGCTTGTAAAATGAGGTTGGATTGAGAAGCCACGTGTACAGCGCCTGGCATGGTGCATGGCCCAAAGTAGGAGCCCACTACGGGACAAGAGCCTCACAGTGAAATCGAGGCTTTCGAGGGGCTTTGCAGAGGGAGGCCGGGGAAGGTGGGGCAAGGTCGGGGAGGGCGGGGATCTCCGGCTGCCCGTCGGGGGTCCGCCCCGCTCGCTCCGCCCCGGCCCTCCCTCGCTCTCCTCCTCGGGGTCTCGGCCAGTGAGCAGGCTGTGGGCGGGCCGGAGGCTGTAGGGGGCGTGAGGCTGTAGCAGGAAGGGGCGGGGGGCTCCGGAGCTGCCGGCAGGAAAAGACCGACCCACCGACCGCCGAGGCCCAGTGTCTCCGCACTTCTGGACTTCGCCATGTGGGGTCTCCTGCTCGTCTTGGCCACCTTCGCGCCTGCCGTCGGTCAGGGTCTGGGAGCGCCCGGCGCCTCCCTGCTGGGCCTTAAGCCGCTCGCGAGCACCGAGGCCCCGATCTCTACCTCGGTCCTGCCCAGCCGTCCGGCACAGCAGCCTGCGGGGAAGAATAACGGTGAGCGCGTCCCCCAGGACCCACCTCTCTTGCTGGTCGTTGCCCTTATCCAGTCTCTTCCGTGACGGCCCTCCCAAGAACACACACACACACACACACACACACGCACGCACGCACGCGCGCAGGCACACAGGCAAACACACACGCACGCACACACACTTTCCGACCGGTGCAATGGATGCTGACTCAGCAGCCTAGTTCCGGGCAGACCAAGTCAGCAGTCCTGGGACGGGAGCCAGTAGGATGCTCTCTTCCAGCTCCAAATCTTCCTTTTTCACAGATGAGAAAACTGAGACCAGAGTCAGGAGGAGGGGAGAAAGAGGTGCAGACAAAGACACTGACACTACCAGGTTCAGGCGGAGACTGTCTGTGTAGGAGAGAGTTTGAGGGTAGGGACTAGAAGGAAGGAACAAGAGAGGGAGGGAGAGCAGTCTGCTGGGGCTGTCTGGGGGAATGGGGCTCTGCCTAGATAGGGGCAGAGGCAGGCTGCCTCATTTCCAGATGTGAGAGCAGAGAGGAGTAACTCAAGGGAGTGGCAGTCAAGGAGGGCTTCTCAGAGGAGGCAAGTGGATGTTGGGTCCTTGCTCACCAAGGGTGAGCATCTCTGAATCATTAATTGCTGAAAAGCAGGGCAGCCAAGAAGGAGACTGCATGTGCAAAGGCACAGGGGCACCAGATGTGAAAATATACAGTGTGTTCTGGAGGTACCTGTGGAGCCTGGGTGGGTGGGAGGGGGGACTAGTGGCACCTGTCCTGTGCAAGGCCCTGTGCTGAGGGGTGAGCAGGACACAGGCCTAGCCCTGGGAGGCCTGAGCACCCAGGCAGACGTGCTTTCGGAGACAAGATATCTCAACCCCGAGGACAGATGCAAAGAGGGAGGTAGCACAGGGGCTATTGGAGACTGAGCCTGGAGCTAAGGAGAGATGCTCCTCAAAGGGCATCTCGGACGTGAAGAATGGGAATTAGGCAATAAAGTCCGAGGTGGTGGAGGGTGGTATGATGGGGAGGGGGCAGCCAGTGCAAAGGTGTAGAGGCAAAGAACCAAACTCAGCTCTTTGGAGTGACTAAACAGTTTCTAGAGGCTGGATGTCACTCTCTATTGGGCGGGGTCAGAGGAGGCTGGCCAAGCACGTATCACATCAAGAAGGAGAAGGAGTCAAGAAGTGGCTGGAGAGGCAGGTTGGGATCAGATTGTACATGCCTTTAAGTCCATGCTCAGCTCCCTAGATGCTTGTGGTGGGGCCTGCGGTGGGCTTGCAGGCCTTCTTGGGATGGCAGACCTTTCCATCTGGAGTTTCATGCCATCTTCCCTTCCCCTGTGCTGGGCCTTCCTGGTCCCCAGGGACCTCACAACAGCATGTCCGGATTCGAATCATCAAGAAGAAAAAGGTCATTTTGAAGAAGCGAAAGAAGCTAACTAGCCCCAGGCCCCTGGTGACTTCCAGACCCCTGGTGACCTCCAGGCCTCTGGTGACTTCCAGGCCTCCGGTAACTTCCAGGCCTCCAGTGACTACTAGTCCTGCAAAGACCCTTAACCTCCCCAAGGAGCAAGAACCAGGTATTACTCCTTCGGGGGCCCTGCCCCGATTTGCAGCCCCTGGGGCACGTGTGTACTCTTGACCTCACAAACATAGGCATGCCCCCCGCCGGGCCAGCTTTGACTCAGCTTCCCACCCACTCTGACCGTCTCTCTCTTGGCCCGTGTCCCTATTCTATCCCTGCCCCCAGACTGCCCGCCTTTGGGCCTGGAGTCCTTGCGAGTTTCAGATAACCAGCTTGAGGCATCCAGCAGCCAGTCCTTTGGTCTTGGGCCACACCGAGGACGGCTCAACATCCAGGTCAGCACCCTGGCTCAGGGCAAGGCAATCCCTAAAACCTTGTTTCCTGCTGCCCCCCATATTCTGGCCACCCTACCCTGCCCATCTCGTCCTGATTACGATATCCTGTGCCCACAGTCAGGCCTGGAGGACGGAGATCTATACGATGGGGCCTGGTGTGCCGAGCAGCAGGACGTTGAGCCATGGCTTCAGGTGGATGCCAGGCGCCCCATCCGCTTCTCAGGCATAATCACCCAGGGCAGGAACTCCATCTGGAGGTGAGGCAGGCTGGCCCCAGGCAGACTCAGGAGGGCTGGGAGGGGCGTCCTGAGGGCCACCTATGATCTCTCCTCCCCTCTCCTGCCAGGTACGACTGGGTCACCTCATACAAGGTCCAATTCAGCAATGACAGTCGGACCTGGTGGGGGAGTAGGAACCGCAGCAGTGGGATGGACGCGGTGCGTGGTGCCATGGTGGCCGGGGCCTCTGTGCTGGGAGCTGGGCACCCAGCCCACTCTAGGGTGCTGGGCTGGTTTGGGGCTCCTCTGGGGAAAAGGAACCGATGTCCCCTTGGGCATTCCAGGGTAAAGGGGGTGTTGTCAGGATGGGTGGTGCCAAGCAGGCAGCCTCAAGAGCCAGGCTGCTGTGGAACATGCCCTCCTTCTCCCCAAATACTCTTCCATGGGGTGGGCGCCACTTCATACCACAGCTTCCTGCTGGAACACCCCTGCGGCAATGGGTCTCTGTTCCTTGCATCACCTCTCACCTCCCCATCTCATGAACCCCCTTATACACCAGGCTACAGCGTGGGGTCCCGGCTGGTTTTAGGATTGGCTGCTCCTGAGTCCTATGGCCATATTGGTCTAATGAGCCGTGAGCCAGCCAGAAAGCATGGCTGCCTAGGGCTGCTCTTTGGCAGGAGTTATGGGCCAGGGTCCATGTTTGACACCAAGTGTGAGTCACCAGCCGAGTCCACCAGGGTGGGTTGGATGGGGAGTTGGGAGGCTTGAGCTCCTTTCCTGGGCCCTGGGCCAGGTGGCTGAGGTTTGAGCGGCCCCACCGAAGGACTTGACACTCGCAGGTATTTCCTGCTAATTCGGATGCAGAGACGCCCGTGCTGAACCTCCTCCCTGAGCCCCAGGTGGCCCGCTTCATTCGCCTGCTGCCCCAGACCTGGCTCCAAGGAGGTGCATCTTGCCTCCGGGCGGAGATCCTGGCCTGCTCGGTCTCAGGTGGGCAGGCAGACAAGAGCTGGATGGGCGGGGTGCAGCCTTCACTGTGAACTCACTCTTTACCACGAACTCACCCTTTACCAGATCCTGAACCGGCATTCTCTGACCCCCTGGACTTTCGGCATCATAATTATAAGGCCATGAGGAAGGTCAGACATAACCCCTTATGACCCAAGAGGGAGGAGGAGCTGCCTATCTCAAGTCCCCTTCTCTCCAGAGCGTAGCCTGTAATGACTGCCCCCATGTCCCCTCTCCTACCCTCGCTGTCTCACCCTTCCTTCCTGCTTATGGCACTTTCCCTGCCTGAGCCTTCATTCATGTCTGCTGCTGCTCCCCTCTTGTGCTATGCCATGGTGTCGCCATCTGTGTGGGCCACCACTGGCTTTAGTAAGTCCTTCCATGGCCACATGGGGTCGGACCCCTGGATCTCATCCTTCTACACCACAACTGTACTCCCTCCCCCGGCCCCAGCTGATGAAGCAGGTGAATGAGCAATGCCCCAACATCACCCGCATCTACAGCATCGGAAGGAGCTACCAGGGACTGAAGCTGTATGTGATGGAGATGTCGGACCATCCTGGGGAGCATGAGCTGGGTACTGGCAGGTGGGGTGGGGGAGGTAGGCACAGGGAAGGGCCCTGGGCGCGAGCCAGCTGTGACCCCGGTGTGTTCCCAGGAGAGCCTGAGGTGCGATACGTGGCCGGCATGCATGGGAATGAGGCCCTAGGGCGGGAGTTGCTCCTGCTCCTGATGCAGTTCCTGTGCCGTGAGTTCCTGCGAGGGGACCCACGGGTGACCCGGCTGCTCACGGAGACACGCATTCACCTGCTGCCTTCCATGAACCCCGATGGCTATGAGACTGCCTTCCGCCGGGTAAGCCACCTGGCATGAGGGCCACCCTGCTCCTCCTCCCCCGGTGCCTGGAGCCTGCCTGGCTGACCACGCCCCTTTCCTGGCAGGGTTCAGAGCTGGTGGGCTGGGCGGAGGGCCGTTGGACCCAGCAGAGCATTGACCTGAACCATAATTTTGCTGACCTTAACACACTGCTGTGGGAAGCAGAGGATGATGGGCTTGTGCCCGACACTGTCCCCAACCACCACCTGCCACTGCCCACTTACTACACCCTGCCCAATGCCACTGTGAGTATTCTGGGGGCAGTGATGGAGGACCTTCCTGCGGGCCCTTGTCTCTAACTGCCCCCTCTCCTGACCTGCCGCTGCCCAGGTGGCTCCTGAAACTCGGGCAGTGATCGACTGGATGGAACGGATCCCCTTTGTGCTGAGCGCCAACTTCCACGGGGGGGAGCTCGTGGTGTCGTACCCGTTCGACATGACGCGGACCCCGTGGGCTGCCCGTGAACTCACGCCCACCCCAGATGATGTTGTGTTTCGCTGGCTCAGCACCGTCTATGCCGGCAGTAATTGGGCCATGCAGAACCCGGATCGCCGACCCTGCCACAGCCAGGACTTCTCCTTACATGGCAACATCATCAACGGGGCTGACTGGCACACGGTCCCAGGGAGTATGTGCTCAAGGGTGGAGCTAGCCCCGTCCCCATAACCCCACCCCATAAGAGTCTGCTGTGACGCACAGTGCTGGTGTCACTCCCCACCCGGGAGTGTCTCCCAGAGGAGGGTCCCAGGAGGGCAGGCTCCCGTCCTGCCCCCTTGGGCTCCAGTGTCAGTGGTTCCCCTAGGCATGAACGACTTCAGCTACCTCCACACCAACTGCTTTGAGATCACTGTGGAACTATCCTGTGACAAGTTTCCTCACGAGAACGAGCTGCCCCAGGAGTGGGAGAACAACAAAGAGGCCCTCCTCACCTACCTGGAACAGGTCGGACCCGAGTCCTCACCCCCAGGCTGCCCCTGTCGCTCCCGACTGAACCTGCTCTCCATTCAGCATGTGGCCCCCACCGTGGGGTCATGTAAGGTTCCATTGAGCATCCTGACTCACAAGATGCCACGGGCCATCACATGGACGTGGAGGGCTATAGGACAGGAGGCCCAGTTTATCAGCAGGGCAGCGTCAGACACCCTTAGCTAGGAGGAGTAGACCCTGCAGCACGCTAAGGAGTGTTCCACGGAGTCACTCCAGGGCTATTCAGGAGGGCCGTCCTCTGAAATGACTCACGTTAGGCAGGTGCAAGAAGTGCCATGGTGTGGCTGCTTCATATTCCACAGGAACTCTTGTCCCTTGCAATGAGTCCGTAACTATAGCTTCCAAGGGTTCCAAAATAACAAGCCCCGTAACAGGGTTGCTGAACTTGGGGCAGCCTCCCTGGCAGGTGTTTATAGTTCTGCTAGTCCTGATGCAGTTTATCAACAGGCGGTGTTTGTCCCAGAGTACCGTCACTTGGGAACGTAGTAGGCCTACCAGCTCTATCAAGTTTGCAGGGGAACCGAGCTGGACAATGAACTGAAGGTCACGGTCTCAGGCAGAAGGGAAAGGGTTCGATAACCTCTCCCCGCACAGGTGCGCATGGGCATTGCGGGAGTTGTGCGGGACAAGGACACGGAGCTGGGGATTGCCGATGCTGTCATTGCAGTGGATGGGATTAACCATGACGTAACAACTGGTGTGTGTGGCAGGGAGGGAAAGGTGGGAGTGTGGGAGGGCTTTAGGTTGGTCAGAAGCTGAGTGTCATAGGGCCCTGATCTTGCTCTTTACTCCTGCCAGCAAGGAGTGGGGACTACTGGCGCCTGCTGACCCCAGGGGACTACATGGTGACTGCCAGTGCTGAAGGTTACCACTCAGTGACACGGAGCTGCCGGGTGACCTTTGAAGAGGGCCCTGTCCCCTGCAATTTTCACCTCACCAAGACTCCCAAACAGAGACTGCGAGAGCTGCTGGCAGCTGGGGCGAAGGTGCCCCCAGACCTCCGGAGGCGGCTGGAGCGGCTAAGAGGACAGAAGGATTAACCCCTCTGGCTGAAGAGCTCCAGAGCCGTGGGCAGGCTGGACCTGTCCAGAGCTCAAGGAGGGGGACTAAGTGTGGGGAGGGAGGGAAAAAGTGGGGAAGCAGGTGCTCAGGCTCATTAAAGCTACTTGGCACCTCAGCCAATCTTCCTATGAACTCTGTCCCAGATCCTCTCCCTGGGCCGGGCCTCAGCTCCCCCTCCTCCCCAGTCCTAGATCCTGATCTGCACACACTTGCATACTCTCATCAGTTGACTTCTGGAGAAATAGTCTGGAAAGATGACGCCACCTAGGTTATCTTTTAACTTGGGGCTTAGAACAAAACACCACCATATCATACAGTGCTGTAGAACATTCTGGAAGCACCTGCTTAGTGCCACGTATGCAAGGAGCTGAGGATAAGCAGTGCCCACCCAACCTGGGGCTCTCAGTCAAGAGGAGGTGCAGTTCAGTAATGTGTGAGGGGTGCCAAGGCAGAGGCTGGTTGCTGAGGGAGCGCAGGCGGAAGCTACAGACACTAGTGTGGCGCTGCAGGCCAACAGGGACTCAAACGGTCAAGGGTGAGAGAAAGGTGATGGTTCTAGGAGTTTAGATGGCAGGTAGCCAAGTGTAGGCGTATGGACAGGGACACCTCCAGGGAGGAGATAACCAAAGATAGAAAAGCTGAGCATCTGGATTTCCTTCACTAGCCATTTTTGGAAACTGTTGGTAAAAATGGCAGCATTTGATTAGTTTCTTTTCAGACTTGTCATGTGTCTGTGGTAATGCTGGAAACTGGGTATCAAAATGTTGGGAGAATTGGATGAAAAAAATGGAGGGAGAAGGGAATTTTACCTCGAACTCGAGAAGCTGGGAACTCTGGTGGTCTGGCGTTGATGAGCCTGTGTTTTGCTGATGTGGTGCTTGAGCCCACAAGGAGCTGGGCCACCTGGGATCATTGTGCTCGCTGACGATGGCTAGAGCCAGAAACAATAATTTCTTCCTCCCTCTTTCTAATCTCCAAACTATAAAGTCCATTGGCAAACTATTATAACTGTAGCCTAGCTTGCAAGGAAGCCACAAAATGTAGTTTCCAGGCTTCCTGGCCCCCCTGCAATTCAGAGGAGAGCTTGCAAGTGCAGGAATGGAACAAATATAACAGGTAAAAAATGCTGCAAAGGCATCCATGTAACTTGCTACGTAAGCTCTGCCTAGTGCCAGGCTGTTGCACTGTTTGTTTCTTGGGGTCTCTCTGTCTCTGCCCCCTCAAATTTTCAATCAGCTTGCTACAAGGAATTTAGAGCCACATCTGCCTACTCCTTTTCTCCTCACCTCCAGCTCCTCTTATATAGCATCATTTTTTCTAAAGAAAAAGAAAAAGATGTTTTTATTCATTGGAGTTGAATATGCATAATGAAAATGCACATAAGTGCATAGAGCAAATGAAAAGACGTGGCCCAAGTACATATTGAAGATACAATAAAATCACTTCACATATAGTGCTACTTTGAAAGTAAGAGAATGAAAAACTTTATCATGTGAACATTAAAAGAAAGCAGGAGCGGCTATCTTAATGTTAGATAAAGCTGACTTCAGAGCAAAGACAATTACCAGAGACAGAAGGGAACATCATTACATAATGATATAACTGAACACTGGTTTGTCCCTTGGGTGACCTAGAATCAGCTAGTTCAGCATAACTGAAATGGCATGTGAATTCCCCCAGCTGATTTCCAAACTTTGGATTTTTTCCACTTTTAACAAGACATTTCTGTGGCCAGAAATCTCCCTCTGTTACATAGTTGCTAAGAGATTCCCACTTTCCTGATAAATATGTAATGTAAAATGAGGATGGGGCTCTTCTCCTGGAGCTCTCTTAACAGAGAGATCAGCCCTACCTGGCTTAGCAACCCACCTTTAGGATAAAGGGTCTTTGGGGCAATATATGCATTCTCCCAACTCCGCCTGGACGTTCCCTCCAATAAACTCCAAATAATTGTGTCCATGCCACGTGTCCTTAGAGGCATTTGCCTTTACATTCCACTTGTCATATGCAACAAGATGAAGAACACTTTACCATAACCTAGTAAAACTGAACACACAGACGTCCCTGTGTACAATGCGTACGATAAAGAAGCTCTTATACCTATGCAAAAAGATACATGTATATAAATGCTTATAGCAGACTTACTTGTAATAGAGCCAAATTGGAATCAGCCCGCATGACATTCAACAGTAGAATGTAGAATAAAAACATGGTACACTTATGCAATGGAACTGTACACAGGAATGAAAACAATCACTATACATATGCAACATGAATAATGACTCGCAAAAACAGTTTTGAGTGAAATAAGCAAAACATAAAAAGAAAATTGGTTTATATTGTTTATGAATGTATGAGTGATAAAATCAAGAACATGATTATGATAAAATTCAGGATAGAGATTGATTCTTGGGGGGTCATGGGCTAACAATCCAGGGTGTTTCCAGAGTGCTAGCAATATACTTTTCCTTTATCTGATGGGAGTACATTTGTGTTCACTTAAAAACATATCTTCAATTTTCTGTGAACACTTTATGTGATTACAAAGTATTGGTTTTCATTTAAAAAATTTGCATGCAGTCAAATCCCGTTCTTTGATGTACACTTCAATGAGTCACATGTATAGTATATTATATTTAGATTTATAATCCCTTTTGAGTTTTTATATATGTGAGATGTAAATCCAGGTTTGTTTATTTACTTATTTGCATATGAAGGTCCAGTTTTTCCAGAACCTTCTGTTGACAAATTGTTCTTTCTCCTTTGAAATGCCATTTGTGTGGGTCTATTTCTGGAATTTGTAGTCTGTTGCATTGCTATGTATCTATCCTTCCACTAACACCATACTGTCTTGATGACTGTAGCTTTCTTTATAACACATCTTAAAGTTGGCTAGTATGCACATGCAAAAAAGTGGACCCTTATACAAAAATTAACTAAAAAAGCATGAAAAATCTAAACTTGAGCTAAAACTATAAAATTCCTAGAAGAAAACATAGGAAATATTCATGACATTGGATTTGTTGATGATTTCTTGACTATGATACCAAAAGCACAGGCAACAAAAGGAAAAAAAAATAGATGAATTAGACTCCATCAAAATTAAAAACTTTTTAGCATCATAGACTATTTCAAGAGAGTGAAAAGACAATACACAGAATGGAAGAGAATATTTACAGAAATTTAAGTATCCACAGTATATAAAAACACCTACAATTCAACAACAATAACAAAATAAATCAATTCAAAGATGGGCAAAGGACTTGAACACATTTCTTCAAAGAAGATAAACAAATGGCCAGTAAATACATGAAAAGCTGCTCAATATCATTAGTTATTAGTGAAACACACATCAAAACCACAATGAGCTGGCATTTCACACCCATTAGGATGGTTATTACCAATAAAATGGAATATAACAAGTGTTGGCAATAATGTGGAAAAATTGGAAGTTTGGGTATTGTTAAGGAGAATGTAAAATGTTTCAGTTGCTGTTGAAGAATTTTAGTGGTTCCTCAAAAAGTTAAACAGAATTACTGAATGACCCACAATTTCACCTCTAGATATATATCCCCAACATTTTAAGCAGGAACTCAGATACTTGTATACCAATGTTCACAGAACCATTATTCACAGTAGCCAAAAGGTAGACACAACTCACGTGTCTATCAAAAACTAAATTAATAAACAAAATGTAGTGTACACATATAATAGACTATTACTCAACAATGAAAAGGGATAAAATTCTAATACAAGCTTCAATAAAGACAAAAGTAGTTAGCAAAAAAACAAAACAAAACAAAATTTTGGTGCGTGGACTGACTTCCAGTAAAGATGGAGGCATAGGTAACATGCTTTGCCTTCTTGTACAACTACAGTAAAAATTACAACTAGACTACAATACAAATATCACTCAGGTTTGTCATAAAATTGAGCAGAATGGAAGTCAGACAACCAAGGATTTAAAGAAGCCGCATTGATCCAGATGGGTAGAAGGGGTGGAGATACAGAGAGGCAGCGATATGGTGGTCCCACATTCACAAGTGGTGGATAAAAACTGGGAGGGATACCTAGGGAGTGAGTGATCCCAGGCCCAGACCAGATATATCCCTGAGCATCCAGCCCAGGGTTCCAGTGCCAGGAAGATAAGTCTCCATAACTTCTGGCTGTAAAACCAGTAGGGGTTGGGTGGGTGAAGAAACTGCAGGAGTCTCAGGGGATTTCTTTTAAAGGCCCGAAAAAGTGTTAGGACTTACACAGACCCACCCCCTCCGGGATTCAGCACCAGGGCAACAGCTGGAAGGGCACAAGTGACATATGGGGAGAAAATGAAGTGACTGGCAACAGGGCAAGTGCTGAGAGACAGCTTTCTCCCAACCAGATCTCCAGAGGCCAGGCAGTGGCATTGTTCCCTCTCCAAGCCCTGCTCCGCACAGAGCCACAAAGCAGTGACATGAGTTGTCCTACCCTGGCAATTACCTGAGGCTCCCCCCAATATAATTTATAGATGCCTTTCCCACAATAGGCCATGCTAGGGAGTTAAGTAGCTCTACCTAATACACAGAAACAAGCAGAGAAAGGCTGCCAAATTGAGGAGTCAAAGAAATATGGCTCAAATGAAAGAATAGAACAAAACTCCAGAAAAAGAAATCAACAAAATGGAGATAAACAACCTATCAGATGCAGAGTTCAAAACACTGGTTATCAGGATGCTCAAAGAACTCATTTGGTACTGACTGCAACAGCATAAAAAAGACCCAGGCAGAAATGAAGGTTGTAGTAAGGGAAATAAAGAAAAAATCTACAGGGAACCAGCAGTGAAGGGGACAAAGCCGAGAATCAAATCAATGATTTGGAACATAAGGAAGAAAAAACATTCAATTAGAACAACAAGAAGAAAAAGGAATTTTTAAAAATGAGCATAGAATAAGGAGCCTCTAGGACATCTCCAATCATGCCAACGTCGGAATAATAGGGG